CAAGCCATCAAATCCGCGATATTCCACAGGGAGCCCAGCTTAAGTCATTTCGCAACTTTGACGGACGATATCACCCCAAAAAACGCATTTCATGGAATTTTCATTTCGATTTTCAAAATCAAAAAGGTTTGATGTACATTTTAAGCTATGATGTAACTGGCACCTCAGAGTCCCTTTAAATTTTTTGTCACTCGCTAAATATAAAATTTCATCCGCATTTTGCGAGGTTGTGCTTGTTAATTTCAGTTAATTGTGCCCTGAAACCATTAACCAATAAGCCATATATTTCATCAATGATTACCTTTTGCCTTATAAGCTTGAAATGCTTTCCAATAAACTGCCACTTCTTTTCTACAGTTCTGCCTTGCATTGACCTCTTCTTTCTTGTAACACTCAGCTACCCGTTCCCTGTATATCTTGACAGTTTCCAACTCCACAAGGCGGTCTAACACCCACTGTTCTCTGGCTTCTGTAAAAGCTACTGGGTCTTTGCGATCTATCTCCTCAAAGGAAGGTGAACGCTGCCGCTCTGTGTACCTCTTGAAATATTTATCACTCATTTGTGAACTCTGTAAAATAAGCTGAAATCAGCTCTAGTTAGAAGGGGGGTTTAATTCATTAAGTTTGGTGTTGAATTCCCAGCAACCTGTGAATGATTAATAAGGTATCTCTGTTTTATCTTTTTTACACGTCATCCATTTCTTTTGTTGGAATCAAATTTAGATGGAAAAGAGAATATACCTCTTTACTCTGGACATTATGTTTGCCCATTTCAGACCATGTCATCAGCCATGAAGTGAATTTGCTGGGATACTTTCCAATTTTTTGTCAAATCTAAAACCATGCTTCATTGTTGTATGCACAAAAAATATTTGTCATAGTATAATATATGCTATTGTATGACAAGACTACTAGCCAAATGAATTTGCGTATCGAAATTTGAATAGAATCCCCTTGACAATTCCCATACACCACGATGCTACCCGGCATGTTCAGTCAATAAAAACCAAACCCCAAAATTAATCGATATTGATCTCTTAATTGGCATTAATTGTATTGGTCAATCGATAAAAAAACAATACTCACAGATTTTTCTCAATCAGATTATTGATGTATATCAATTAGTATAGAAGAATATCGATTAAAGTCAAAATATATTAACTAGCATTTATCTAACTGGAAAGCGGTTGAGTGTTACACTGACCGGCGCAACGTCATCTACATATGCCGGCTCACACAACTTAGACTGATTCAGACACTGTACTATTATTTTATTTTATTATTTTTCATTTAGTGAGGGTCATATGATAAAATGCTTATTGACTGAGTTAGGTCGGGCCGTACGGGAAAATATTTGGCTCTTGGTCATTTGTATGGACCTCGGTGCACTTGGTCTGTATGGCATCACCTCCAGCCAAATATTCCCTGTACGGCCCTCCCACTCAGTCCCGGGGGGGGGGGGGCACTCTTGCCCGTTTAGGGTAGGGATGTGCCGCTAAGCCCACTGATGATCGATTTTATCGATTGAACACGCTGGGGATACTACCATTGAAGCCCACCCAAAAACCCTTACAAAACTGTAAAACCCATGCACGGTTTAATATAACCAGGATTCTGTCTCATGCCAGACACTCCCCCCCCCTCCCCCCAATAACCTTCTCCGTTTGAGGGAAGGTCAAATCTCCTCCTGTAGATAAAAAAAATGCCAACCAGCTTATCTGAAATGCGTCCTTTTGAGAACGTATATAGATTCTCTACAATCGAATATTAAGATAAGAACAAGCAAAATATTATCTATAATTATTCACTTACCTTTTATAATAAAGAAATACCCCAAAATTAGACAAAAGATTTAGATCATCTACAAAGTTTGCGAACCATTTGATCCACAACCATCTAGATCCAAGATGGCGGCTATTGTTAGAAATGGGCATGCGCCCATGTCTTATTACGCTGATCACTTGTACTGCACCACAGGGAGTCCAAGTACAGTTTAGGTGAAATTGTTTTAGATTCTTTTAGATTTTAATCTGTTGAAAAGGCCTTCTTCCTATATGTTTTTTACTTCTTTTCTATGTAAATAATTTCGCATTGGCATTTCCTAAGCTTAACAGAGAGAAAATCAAAGAAAAATTGAAAATATTAAAATTCTACAAATATATGGATTCCTAGGCTTTTCTCGTTTTTCCAATTATTACTATGAAGAGACGTAATCAGTCTTAAATATAAATAAGTATATATAGAATTGAAAAAGCAACTAAGTCAGGAGATTGATTTATTTCACCTTATGCGGGTTCCCTGTGCTTTATTTACTCTCTTTCAATATATTAACCCCCCTCTTAGAAGTAATTGCTTATGGAAGAGTGTATCACGTGGTATCGTTCTCTTTCCTTAATCGCTCGAACAAGATGGTGAGTGGAAAGTTTTTACTCCCCCAAAATCCGTCTAAAAAACGCTATTTTTTTGCCATCATTCTAAAATTCTGCTTCACAGCCTAAGCTAAATAGATTCCATCATAGATTGGCGTATTATTTTCTCAATTGCTCTGCATTTTTTAATGGAAAACTACAAATTTATTAAATGAATCGTATTGTAGATGTGCTGTCGGCAATCTAATTTTCCAGTAATTATTAATAAAGAGTAGTCATTATTTTTAGGAAGATATTAAGAATATTAAAGAAATGATATGAAAGATTTAACATGAATTGTACTATTGTATTCAAAACTAATTTTGTTCCGTGAATGATCTTTTCAGTCTCACCGAAAGTTCGAGGCACCACGTCACGGTTCCCTGGGATTTTTGCCTCGTAAGAGGTCAAAAAGACATCGTGGTAAAGTGAAGTCTTTCCCTAAGGATGACTCTACCGTTCCACCACATCTTACTGCCTTCATTGGCTTCAAAGCCGGCATGACACACATTCTGAGAGAAGTGGAGAAGCCTGGATCGAGTAAGTACTCCTCTTCACCTACCTTACTCCATAAGTTTGTAAGGTACCGTTTGTAACTATCGTACTAAGTTAAGTGTTTGTGTAAAAACGATCTTTTGTTGTTTCTCGTTAGAACTGCACAAGAAGGAGCAAGTCGAAGCAGTAACGATTATAGAGACACCACCGATGATGGTAGTAGGAGTAGTGGGTTATATTGAAACCCCACGTGGTATGAGGGTTCTGAAGACCGTCTGGGCTGAGCATCTCAGTGAAGAATGCAAGCGCCGATTTTACAAGAACTGGTAAGTTCTGATTCTATTAGCTTTTGGTTGTGAGGCTACGTTAGGGAAAAACTATWAACTTGTTCTAGACATTGGTCATTTATCCCAAATATTTTATAAGTCACCTCCCTGATTACTTCCTATCTTGCCCTTAGAATAACTATTGTGCACCACAATGGGTATCTGTTCCTTTGAAACATAGCATTTTAGTTGAAAGACAATACATGATAAATCAATATTTCAGTTTTGTATGGCGGGGAGGGAGCAAAGTTGGTCATGGTACATTAGAATAGAGTAACAGCTAGTAATTGTCAAATCAGATAATAGTATTTTTTCGAAATATAAGTTATGACTGCATCAAAAACCAATATCTTAATCTTGTTAATATCATAAGTGGGTCTGAAACTTAAAATATTACCTAATTTCCTTACTCCCTAAAAATATTAAAGTATATTATGGCTTAAGTAAAGAGCAAAGTTGTCTAACAGATGTATGGATTCAGTGCTAATCCTCCACTGAGTGAATATTACACTCATGAGGGTTGGCCCTCTTGTTTCCTCTTGTGTTCACATGTCCGTTTTGGTACCGGTTTGCAAATAAAGGTGCAGATCCAAGAAGAAGGCATTCACCAAATCTAGCAAGAAATGGGGAGATGAAGAAGGCAAGAAAAGCATTGAAGAAGACTTTGAAACCATGAAGAAGTACTGCAAGGTTATCAGAGTCATCTGTCATACTCAGGTGAGAGATGATACACTCCTAATCCAGAGCTTTAAAAGCAACAAAATTCACATACACTTACATGGTGCATTATGTATTTTCGGCTCTTATCATTTACAGGGCAAAATTACTTGATCCTAATTAGCTAATGAATTATGGCTTTTTCCAGGCCAGTTGGGCAATTTTAAAGCTTTGAAAACGTGAGATTAATCCTTAATTTTACTTAGCCCCATACAATTACCAATACAAATTGATAGTCAATATATAAAAACATAGGTTTAAGTCAATGAGCATTCCAAGAAAGTATGCCATAAGTTTGTTTCATTTCTGATATGCTGGCTTTTCTGTGTTTTTAGCAAAAACTTGTGAAATTGACACAGAAGAAAGCCCACATCATAGAGATCCAAGTTAACGGTGGCAAGGATATTGCAGAGAAGGTCGACTGGTGTAAAGAACGCCTTGAAAATCCTGCCCCTGTCCGCAAGGTGTTTGCTCAAAATGAAATGATAGATGTGATTGGGGTGACCAAAGGCCATGGCTTCAAGGGTGTGACATACCGTTGGGGTACTAAGAAGCTTCCTCGCAAGACACACAAGGGTCTGCGCAAGGTTGCTTGTATTGGTGCTTGGCATCCTGCCCGTGTTTCCTACTCTGTTGCCCGTGCTGGTCAGTGTGGTTACCATCACAGGACTGAATTGAACAAGAAGATCTACCGTATTGGTCAAGGTATTCACACCAAGGATGGCAAGGTCATCAAGAACAATGCTTCAACTGAATATGATCTTACTGACAAGAGCATCACACCCATGGTGAGCCATCCAAAATATATTTTTTCTTGCCTTCTTTCCTTTTATTGAGGATTTCCTTTGCATTGAGTTAACTACTGACATGGGAAATGAAGCGCTTGCTTCCTGCATGGTCAACATAAATAATATTATGATAAACGTTAAAGATTTTTTTGAAAAAGCCATTCTTCAACTAGCAGTAGAGGTATCTCATAAAATGTTTAACTTTTAAAAGAAAGTAGCTTCCATCTTATATTTCTATATTTATTTCTATTTACAGATTTTATTTTCATTGCTGCATTTTTTTAATGTTGCATTACATAAATCTTCAAGTCAAAGCGCTTTGATAATTGCTGTTATAATTAATGTGACAATTTGATTGGTTTCAGGGTGCATTCCCACACTACGGTAATGTTAATGAAGACTTCATCATGGTCAAGGGATGTGTTGTTGGACCTAAGAAGAGAGTCCTGACCCTTCGTAAGGTAAGTAGTACAGCACTGAATAAAACAATGTATTAATTTCTCTTCCATTAATGCAAGTAGCTCTCTCTACATAAAGAGGTACAGTGAAACTACTCGCCAAAGCCACATGAACCAATTTTGTGTTTGTAATAAAATAGAATGAATCAGCAAATACAAAATGTAGTCTTCCTACCCTTGCTTTATCAATGATTTTTGCAAGCTCCCTATAAATAAACCATGACATCCAGTCCTTTCTCTTAATTCACTTGATAAATCAGACCACTGAATGAATGCAACAACTCTGCTGAAGTCAAAAATCTACAAAAAGATATGGTTCTTTTTGGAATGTCAATGAGAAAAGCCCTTTGCCTTGCACTAGACACCATTACTTTGATTGTAAAAGGAAAAGACCAACATTACCATACTTATGATGTTGTATTATTTTTTTTCCAGTCTCTCCTGGTTCAAACAAAGAGGTCAGCCCTAGAGAAGATAACTCTGAAGTTTATCGATACATCATCCAAGTTTGGTCATGGACGCTTCCAGCACCCTGGTGAAAAGAGAGCCTTCATGGGCCTTTTGAAGAAAGACCATGAGAAGGAATTGACTGCTGGTGCTGAATAATCTGTACCAATGCATCAAACAAATAAAGATATCTTGTTAAAAACAAACATCTTGTCCATAGTTGAAACTTGAGAAACCTTCAGGGGCTTATCAAACAAATTTAGGTCATCCCAATGATCTCTCTAGATTGTTTTTTATATTTTCAACTGGGAAGAAAACTGCTAAATCAGCCAAGGGTATCCCACCTAAAATAATCCATTGCCAAATAGGAATAAATCTACAGATTTTCAACTTCTAATGCACTTAATTCTTCCATATATTAAAATACAACAGGGTTCCCAGGGGTAAGGAAAAACACAGGAAAAAGTCGGGGAATTTTTATTTTCAAAATGGCTGGGTGTTTGTGGGGAGGGAAACTGCGTCATGACCCTAAGAATGGCTGTGAAGGAGGGCATTGGGAACCCTGTACAAATATATCTAGCATTTACAGTGTGAACACAAACCATTTTTTCATAACTATCCAATCTGACTGCATGGGTCAAACAAAGTAAGGCAGGTCACAGAGCTGCCTGTTCCCCCTACCCAAGATCTTGGACCCTTGAAAAAGGTTTAATGATGTGGTTTCTCAAACATTTACAGTGCGACTATACCAACCAAGGTCACCCAAACAAATGCTCTTACAAATAAGGCAATCTTGATTGCGATAGAGTGATTTTCATAAACAGATATTAGTTAGGGTGTAATATAGAAATGACATTAAAAAACACGCTGGAATTAGAGTCTACTAATTTGTAGAGTGAAGTCATTAAAGCTGTGCAATCACAGGTAGCCCAAGCTTGGTTTCTGTGGTGTCCTGTTATAAGGAAATGTATGGAGATTCATCAAAAAGTTAAATAAAATCATTGAAACGTGAAATAAAGCCTCGAAATTTTACCCGATCATTGAGAAATAGCACTTCTTTCGCTCTGCGTGGTTATTTTTTGAATTTAGCCTGTTTTAACATTTTTTCCCCCACCAGTAAGAAATAAGTAAGTAATAATATTTCTTACYGGTTCTTACTGGCTACCTGTGGTGCCGATAGATATTAGACTAATACACTTTAGTAGAACTTATTTCCATTGTTTTCTTTTGTGTCTATTTGACTTTATTATTTTACTTCACATGAATGTGCTAGTGATTAAACATCACTTGACCTGGAAACAGCTGAATACCTTCACCAAAATCAAGGGGAAGATGAGAATCTAGATAAACCACAGGGAACCCACTTAAGATGATCAATGAAACTTTGCAAAAATACATTTTTGCTAGAGTGGTTTTCATTAACCCATGAAACAAAAGATACTTATTAGATGGTAATAGCCAGATTCAAACAATAGAAAACAAAGGACTTAGAGCACAATAGTACTAAATACACTAAAATGTATTTCATAGGTTTAAGAGAATCACTCTATTTTCCTGTGTTCTTACTGCTGCTACATTTATAGCTCAATATTTATGCAATTGAAAAATCTTCTCAAAGGCGGTTGAAAAAGATACTACCATAGTAACCTTTGTGGAGTAAAGTAACCTGGCAGTAGTAGAAATCATAAATCGAATATGAAAGTGCAAAAAATATTATTTGATAGTAAATCCTTGAACAGAATAACATTGAATAGTGCTTTGAAAAAGCCCAATATACCCCATCCCAAGACACCCCAGCCCATCAGGGGCCATGGAGTATGTTGAAAAGTGGGGGGAGGGGGGGGGGGCAGGCATTTGAAAATTAAGCAAATAAATTTATTTATATTCGTATTTTTGGCACAAAAAGTGGCTCCTTGGTCCCTGCCCATGCAGCAACTAAATAAATCTTCTCTAAAAATACAACAAAATAATAATGAAACAAAATACAACAAAACTACAAGATAAATTCATTAAAATTCCTTTATTTAAACAACATGACATAGCTTATTGTTATAATAGAACAGATGTCTGTTTACAGCTCCAACATTTCCACTGAATACAAACCAACATTCTCTTTGGCTGGTAAGGGATGTTTGTTTTTATATTGTTCCAGGAATCCCTCTAGTTCACCCAGCATCTCCAACAGAGTAACCTTCAAATCAAACAGAAAACAAGAAGCAACTAGYTTTAACATGTTAACACCTTTAATTATTGATTAGGTGCATTTTAAATAATGCTTTCTATATTGTGCTTTCTTTCTGCTTTTGTTCCCTCACTCTACAGGTTTTCCTCAATTTGCATTCCTTATTTGGTTCTACCATTTTCTCCCCCCCCCCCCCCCCAGCAAAACATCATTTCCTTTTCTCACTGAGTCTGTGTCTGAGCCTCACCTGGTCCTGCACACAGCTGTGTAAGTCCAGAAGGAGACCTTGAAGATTTGAATTCAAGACCAAAGCCGTGTAATGTGCGTTGATAATCCAGCCAGTCCAGTCTAATGCCTAATATCAAAACATATAAAACTATAAGATTTATGTGGCAATCTTTTTTATTACATTCATGAATGGTTGACCAGCTTGTATGTACTGTAATTGATTATGCATTCTTTTTGAGCACATTGGACTACTCAAAATAGTGTGCTGTGATTGGCTGAGCTTCTTGTTATCTATTCCTCATAATAGTGAGTGTATGGCTGATAAATACACAGGTTTTTAAAAGAATAAAGGAAAGAAAATCCATTAAAAAAATGAAAGTCTGTGTCTTTCTGCCTTTTTATAACATTGTTCAACTGGTTTTGTCCCTCATAATACACTCAACAAAATTACTCAATTCTGATTGGACAAGGGGAGTACAATTAAATCCCAAAATGTACTCTGTAGAGAAAACAAAAAATTGTGCAATCTTGTCTTACAATTTGGAATTCGCCTAAAGGCTTGTCCAATTTTGAAAACTTTCAAAGCATCACTTGTACCCATAAATTCCGAATTGTACTCGAGATTGTGCGATTTCATATACAAATTGAGATATGGGTTGTAGCCTGTCAGATAAAGAATTTTGACAGTAAATGTGTAATAGTCAAATAGACACATTCAAAAGAAAACAATGGAATTAGGGTCTCATAATTTAAAGAGTATCAGTCTAATATCTACTTCACATTGTAAGACTATTTCATTTTCTTACTGTAGGATAATCAAGTGAGCTGCCTTTTCTTGCAAATGAGCTTCTAGGTGCAGACTTGATGACACACACCAAAAACTTCAATAGAGCCTGTTGAGACAAATTGATGCTTTTAAAATGTTCAATAATTTGAGATGGGAGGTGGATTAGAGATGGGAGGTGGGATTTGAGATGGGAGGGGGATTTGAGATGGGAGGTGGGATTTGAGATGGGAGGGGGATTTCAGATGGGAGGGGGGATTTGAGATGGGAGGGGTATTTGGGATGGGAGGTGGGATTTGAAATGAGAGGAGGGATTTGAGATGGGAAAGGGGATTGAGATAGGAGGGGGGATTTGAAATGGGAGGGGGGATTTGAGCTGGGAGAGGGATTTGAGATGGGAGGGGGTATTGAGATGGAATTGGGAATTTGGGATGGGAGGGGGGATTTGGGATGGG